TCCATACCCATCCGTGATTTGGGAAGACTTCATCACCAAATGGAGCATCGATCGAGATCAATGCAACCTGCTCAAGCTCAAGCTATGGCGTGCTCGACCTGCCTGATGCTGGTAACCTTGCTCGTGATCACTCCTGCTACTGGGAGCCCCCACAATACCATATAATAGACTTAGATAATGCCTGCATCTTCATGGACATGGCTCCAAAGAGACAAAGACAGTGTATAGGAAGGTCAAGAATAGACTTTAGTATCACATGTTTAGTAGCAGAAGATTTGGCTGCCTGAAGCAGCCATGATGCCAATATTATGTTTCATTGTATTGATATGTTATATTGACCTTTAATTCTCTTGCAGGTTTGAATGTATGTTGGCTATCCTGGAAGGGGACTGTGTGGGGTGAACCCCAAAAGTAAAGGGTGTCTAGCTGCCAAGAGGGCAGGTACCCAACTGGGCAGAGAAGAGTGCCCATCAGGTTTTGGTCTCTGTTGAGAGACAGTTGATGGTTGGCAGCCTGTATACTGTCTTGCAGGCCTGCGTAACCATGCCCATGTCAGGGGTAGTTGGAATAGAAGGTCTGAGGCATGGTTATGCATAGAAACGTTTAATGCCAACAGTTACTGTTTTGTTATAATTCTGAAGAATCCATGAAAAGGAATTGGCAAGGAAAGTCAGAAAATCTTAGAGCAGATCAGTATGTTTTTCTCCTTATATAATTCCTCTGAAATATTGGCAGTGCTAAATGAGTCATGGCAATACATTTCTTTGCATGGATTCAATAATCCTGGTTCCTAATAGTGGTTTTATTAAAGGAAAACTTTGACTGGAGTATTATGTTTTAAAGAGCCCTGTCTGAGCTCTAAAGACTTAAAGCCAGTAAAAATGCCATGAAGAAAGCCTGGTATCCTGCTTGGGAGCCCTGAAGATGGCTGGCGTTGGAGTGTCAGGCCCAAGCCCTACCATCACTGGCGGTTGGTCAGAGTAGAAGGGGAGCAATAAGGATGCCTCTGCGTCCCTGCGGAACCCCCACACACTCTGGACCACAACGAGTAGGAGGGCTACTGAGATGGGCCTTAAAGCCTGGAGCGTGGGCTCAGGTGGAGTTGCTACAGGTGAGGGATTCACCTAACTCAGTAGATACTGCAGGCAGGCCTGATGGCAGCTGGATGGCTTGGCTTCTTGGCCCTATGGGGCACATTAAGATTCAACCATGAGATTCCAGCAAAGGTGGTCGGTTACCATTCCTGTTGTGTTTATGCAAACATCAGGCCAAATTGAATACAGTAGATAAATTAATCTTAATTTGTTTTTTTGATAGCCTTGGAGGAATTTTAAGAAGAAAACTCCTATTTCAATAGAAGTTGTTAAACCTAAAATGGTTTCTTTCCCTTCCACCAGATCATTTGTTAAGCATATAGGGATAGTTCAGTTGATAGTTCTGTGTGCCCAGTATGGGCCTCTAGCAATGGTGGAATAGAAATGCAGTCTGTCTCATGATTGAGCTGGAAGTTCCAAGACAAAGGGGGGAATGAAAGGGCGAGGACTACGCCTTCCATCTTGCCCCAGGGTAAGGGCTACGCCCTCCATCTTACCTTGGCCATGTGCTTGGCAAGGCTTCTTCCTGGAAGCCCAAGCCTATGCTAGCCACACCTAGGACTTCTTTAAACTAACCAATGACAATCAAGGGAAGTCACCATAGATATGACCACATCCTGTGTAACAAGACACCGACTTGCGCCTGGCCCGTCAGCAGGGCCCACAGTCCTTTCTCCTCCCCTTACTCCAACCCCCCTATAAAACCTCTCTCCACACAGAGTTCTCTCTCTCTGCCACTTGGCTTGCTGTTGTGTCGGTGAGAGTGGTCGGGGAGCCGAGCTAGCTCAAACAAAGACTCTTATGCTTTTGCATTGGAAAATAAATAAATAAATAAATAAATAATAATGGATATCTGGCAATTTTATGTTCAATTATAAACATAACACTGTTATGACAGTGTTATCAAAAAAGCCAGCATGTTCCTTGGAAGAATCTATTGTTAGTAATATTTTATTTGTTAGTGCTTAGCAATTTACAAAAAAAATTCTATACAGCATTTTGTTTTATTTTACAGCAATTCTGTAACCATTTCTGGTTTGTTTTGTGTTTATAGTATCTATTTTAAGGATGTGACAAGTGAGGTTTAGAAAAGTTGAAGCTCTAAAAGCGGTGCTTCATTCATCCATGACTCTACTCTTAATGAGCAGACCTTTCAATACCCAGGATCATCTGGCCACTGGAAGGCCCTGTCCTGGCCTCATTTTTAGGTAACTTTCCTATCCCATCCCATGCCTGTTTTATTTTTAGTGGTAGTTCCTCTTAGGGTTGAATTAATTCTTTTATGAGGAGAATTTCCTGGAGCTGTCAGAAGGTTTAATCACAAATATAGGAGCTGGGGACATTCCCTAGTGCCCTAGCTCACACTTGCCTTTGAGTTCAATTTGCCCCAGAATTAGGACGACACCTAATGGTAATTTTAGGTAGCACATAATGGGAAAACTGGATAATTGAGACTGCCAGGAAACAAGGCAGCTGGTGCCCTCTAAGGAGGGAAGTCCCTACTCCAGGAGGTGCAAGTTTCAGAAATTTTCTAATAGCACTTTCTACTCTTCTTCAGTGCCCTGGGAACTAGGACTTCTGGATCATGTCTTCTAAGGAGGGAACACATATGGTAGGGGAAATTCACCTTTATTACAATTACGATAAAAAGTAATGTCACTCTTGAAATTACATACTTGTCCTACAAGTGCATAAACTGATATTTAACTCAGCCTAAAGACATCAGAGCTTAGCCTACTTCATTCTCTATAATTCACCACATTTGCTCAGAAATGCGAATATTTCCCTCATCAATTTTACTTATATTCTTCAGGTGTCTGCCCTGGCACCATTAGCAAGTGACACTTGTGAGAACTGCAGTTTTGCATCCCACCCTAGTCCAACTGAATCACAATCTTTGGAGGTGGAGCTAGGTAAACTCCATTTTTACCAACTCCCCATTTAAGTTCTCTGAGTGTAGCATGCACAAGCTGAAGAACTACTAAGGTAGAGCAGGAAGTGACCTCAGCAATCTTTTAATCCCTCTACAGAGGTGGACAAACTTTTTGACTCGAGGGCCACAATGGGTTCTTAAACTGGACCGGAGGACCGGAACAAAAGCATGGATGGAGTGTTTGTGTGAACTAATATAAATTCAAAGTAAACATCATTACATAAAAGGGTACGGTCTCTTTTTTTTTTAGTTTTATTCATTTCAAATGGGCTGGATCCGGCCCGCGGGCCGTAGTTTGCCCATGGCTGCTCTAGGAATATGTGAGTGAACTAAGCCTTGACAGGTTAAGTACCACCTGATCTATCCTGTGAGTCAGTAGCAGGAACTAAACTAAGCCTCAGATCTCCCAACTGGCAATAATAGCAATAACATAGGGCTATAGCACTTGTCAAGTAGAAGCTGGTTGGACTCAACATTAGCAAATCAGAGACTATGACTTTGTATTCTGTATTCCTCTTGTCATCTAATTTCAATAAATACATTACCCATGCATTAATTTAGACTCTAGACAGGATAATGCCAGAGTGAATTTTCTAAATTCCATTTACATGAGCATTCTGAAAGCCAGCCTCCTGGGTTCAGGCATCATTAAGCACTGGGGATTCTTAACACTTGTTAGCTGCCTGAGTATGTCAAGTTGTGCAGCCTACATGTAATATGTGAAGTCACTGAACATTTTTTTACGTCATGGCATGCGCGATATCATATTGAGTTTGAAGATTTTCCCCTCAAGATCCTGTCATTATACTTCAAAGTGTTTTACTAACATTATATAAAAATGACTGGTTAATTTTATCACTTCTATGAAATTTTCTTTTTTACAGACATAGATGTGCTTCCATATAAATGCATAAATATCATCACACTATACATACTCATTGTCTGTTTGCTTTGTTTTATTTATTAATTTATTTTTTATTCTAAATAATTTTTTATTCTTTAAAACAGTTGACATACAATATATTAGTTTCACGTGTACAACCCAGTGATTAGACATTACATAACTTACTAAATGATAATCCTGAGGATAAATCTCCTACCAATTTCACACCATGCATAGTTATTGCAATATTATTGACTATATTACCTATGCTATACTTTACATCTCGGTAACTACAACCTGCACTTCTTAATCCCTTCTTGCCAAGATAGAAATAAATAAATAAATAAATAAATAAATAAATAAATAAATAAATCTGAATCTGATTAAGTCTCTAGATGTATCTATCAGTTTATAAGAAATACAGAGGATAGAAGAAACCATATTTAATTCAATGACAAGATAAATTGCCTTTTTTCCCCAACAAATAAATGATCAGAAAAAAAGAAAATGGAAGGGAACCTATGGATTAAAGGAGACTTAATAGTCATATGAGTCAATTGTAATATGTAGCCCTTATTTGGATCTGAATTCATACAAACTACCACACAAACTAATAATGATAATGACAAAAAGAAGGAGTGTAGGTGAGTACAGTTAAAAACATTGGCCATATTTGATAACTGCTGAAGGGTGGAAGATAATTATTTTAATTCTCCATAGTCTTAATATTTTTGAAAAGTTCTATAGTAAATAATTTTTATCATTTAATTCAACAGATCATTTTTGGGAAAAAGATAAGTTAGAAAAAAATTAAGAACTGTAACTCAAAATAGTTATATATTCTAGAGAAATAAACTATAATAAATTTTAAAGCATGCTTCCCACTACTGAAGTTGCTTTCAGATTCATTTTTTGGAGTTATTACAATATTCACCAGTTTCTTTTATTTTTTTTTATAATCACTAACAGATATATCAAATGCAAGTAAATAGGAATAAGAAATTACTGTGTAGAGTTAGATATGGTCTTAGAAAATATTTAATTTAAATGTTTGATTCTTCAAAAGAACGCATATTGGGTGAGCAATTACCTGGGTCTGTTGCGGACATCAGTGAACCAAAAAACAAGCAGTCAGTGAAATGGAAGTCTCCATTGTTCAATTGGTCAGCATATACCATAGCTTTCACAAAACCATACATAATTAACCTGTCGAGAAAAATAAAATCTTCAAACATCAAGTTGAATCTTGTGTAAACCTATGCCATCAGAGCTAACATTTAATAGGTTCCCTAAATAAGCATCATGCACAAATTACATAATTCTGCCTTCATGGCTGTGTTAGCTGTCAATATACTATTTAAATCTCTTGTCTATGAAAAAACTTTTTACCAAATATCACAACTCATTCACCTGGAAAAGGGTAAGAGAATATTCTATAGTGTATGTCGGGGGTCTTTCCCTGCATCTAGAAAGGTTCAGGAATTTGGATAAGGGCTGCGAGTAAATTAATAAAGAGACTAGACATGAAATATAAATTGGAAGGCATTTTGGGGAGCCAGAGGAGACCTAGTGAACGGACAAAGCAGAAACATATTCCCCTCCCTCTCCCCTATCTTGCCTTGTAGGGCTGGGCCCTCAGCCCAAGCCCCCTCCTTTTCTGAGTGACCACAAAAATGCCGGTATTGACCTAACTCCCCCAACCACCACCTGAGTGGACCAATGAAGCTCCAGGTATGCAGCTAAGGTCCTGATAAGGCTATAGTGGGGGATGGCCTAAGCCTCAGAATGTGCTGGTCACTTCCTGACCTTTGTGCTGTAAGACCCTGATGAAAAACCCTGACCTAAATGACCAATCTCTGTAACCCACGTTACCCCCTAAGCCCACCCAAATAACTAGCCCTATATAACCTTTGTTCTCTTGGAACTCGGGGCTCTCTCTTGCATCCAGTAATGGAGGCGGGGGGGGGGGGCAAGCGAGCTTGTATTAAAGACTCTCTGCTTTTGCATTGGAAGAGGTTCCCTGGTGGTGGATTATTGGGGACCCCAAACTCTGGGCATAACACTAGCTTCAGTAACCATGTTCTCTGAATCTCTGGACCCCTAGCTTTTTATTAACACAAATTGCCCTAAAGCAAAGCAGATATACATATCAAAGGTAAGGTTTGGTATATAGTAGGCATTGTCAGGTTGGGGGAACTGCCTTCGGCTGTCAGACTGCAGGCAATAATATATGCAGATGTTCAGCCCTGCTAAAACCTCAAGGTTCATCAACCTTTTGATGAACTTTTTGCATTTTATTATGCCATGCTGGAATTAACTTCCAGCAAGTGTATTTTAATGAAAGCAAGATAAATCTAAAGGATATAAAAATAATCTGTCAAATACAACATAGCAAATCATGTTCACAAAAAGAGCGGCTGGGTTAATACTGGCAAATAGATTGTTTTCCAGTTTTCATTGTTTTGTCTGCTAAGGGTGTCTGAAAGGGTTTACATTTCCAGTCTGTCACTGTGATGAGAAGGATATGGCCACTGGCAGGGCATGCTGTCAACCAGTTACTTTACAATAGATGAATCTCAACTACTGCTGGTGTCAGGACACTTCCACAATGGGTGGAACATCACTATTAGGTTGGAGAGCCTGTAATTCAACACGCTGTTCAAAAGGAATCCCGAAATGGTTAGGTTTTGATCTTTCAATGAATGCTGGGTGGTGGTGGTTGTTGTTGTTTGTGTGTGTGTTTCTCCATGAGATTATAAAGTTTATAAACTTACCAGGCTTACTCCATGGAATGCAAATGGTTTGTTTTGGTCCTCATTTGCTAATCTATAGCTTTTAAATTGTACTTAATTATTTAATTGACTGATGGATTTTGCTAAAATCCTAGTAGGGGAAATACAGAGATTGGTGAACTTGACCACATTCAAATCAATATAAGTGACGGTAAGAGACCTTAGAGACTGACCCTCAGAACAATAGATGAATGTTTAAGTATTCACATGTATTTAAACTTAGTTTCTTTAAAAATGTTCTAAGGTTGTGGGCATGGCTATAAAGGCTAGAAATCAGATACTGGAAATTATAATGTCAAAGAGAATGCAGATGCTTCAAATTCTGTTAAGAAAAATTTATCTGTGAGAGAATATTTCAGATAGCATTGCATTTAAAACAAGGTTCTACCACTCACTAGCTATGATTTTAGGACATTACTATAAGTTCCTGAGCTTCATTTATGAGGTAGGGATAACAATAATAGTTAGTTCATAGAGTTTTTTAAAGGGTGACCTGAGATATATTTATATATATATTTAGTTTCTGGCTCATAAGAAACTTTCAAAGAAATTATTATTACTGGTAATTATAATATTTATCAAATAGGCAACACTTACTTAGAATTTCTTTTTCTTCAATGTTTTAACTTATTTAATTCACACATTAATCCTATAAAGTAGATATTCTTACTAGTGTACAGATGAGAAAACTAAACACAGTGTGATCAAGTAATTTGTTCAAAGTGACACAGCTGCTGATTCTCAAACCCCAGATTTGAACTGTGGAGATTTGGCTCCAGTGCCCAGGCTTTTAGCTACCACATTGTATTCCCTAGGTAAGTTGTTCTATATGCTTACATTGTGTGTTATTTCATAAAATATACTCACAACTCCCCTATTAGGTGGTTGCTCTAGGTAGTACAAAAGAGAAGAATGGATTATCCCTAAGAACATCGAAATAACACTACTCTATATGTTGACCTATTAAGACAACCCATAGTGACTTGGAGCTGAGAGACCCAACATTGCTGTGAAGAATACGGATTCAATAAGGGAGGTTTAATCTTAACTGGGCTGAAGATATTAACATATCAGAGAGACTGTACCATGGGGCACAGAGAATATTGTTGGGAAGAGGCAAGTACAAGAGGCCTCAATCATAGCAGCTCACTCACACTTATCCTGGGGAGGGTGTGCAGCATTTTGACAGGTTACCAGGCAGCTTCATTCTGCATATTTGTTCATTTAATAGACATTTATTATTGAACCCCTGTTTTGTGTCAGGCTCAGTCCTAGGTGCTTAAGCTATATCAGTGAAACAAACAAACAAACAAACAAAAACCCCCACACAGATCTCTGTATGCATTTTAGCAAGACAGACGGCAATAAAAATAATCATAAATTTGAATTTTATCTGTTGGGTAAAAATCACTCTCTGAATTGGAAACTATAGGTCTGATCAACAGTGGGACATTCTAGGCAGTCCCGATATTACCATGGAAATGCTTTCAGCAAGGGAGGGCAGTTGGGGCAAGATCAGGCCAGCAAGGGAGGGCAGTGGGGGGCAACCAGGCAGGCATGGAAGCAGTTAGGTGTTAATCAGGCTAGCTGGGGAGCAGTTAGGGGGTGATCAGACTGGCAGGCAGAAGTGGTTAGGGGCAATCAGGCAGGCAGGCAGGCAAGCAGTTAGGAGCTAGCAGTCCCGTATTGTGAGACATCCCTTAAGGGGTCCCAGATTGGAGAGGATGCAGGCGGGGATGAGGGACATTCCCCACCCACCCCAGTGCATGAATTTCATGCACCAGGCCTCTAGTGGTTATACAATGAAATTAAATGTAACTATTTTCGTTTTGACTTTCTGCATTTTTCCAATTCTTTTAAAATAATCCTATATAATAAAAGAGAAACATGCAAATTAACTGTCCCTCTGCTGCTCTCAAGCCAGGCCCACAAGCCACGCCCACCAGCCAATCAGGAGTGAGTATGCAAATTAACCCAACTAAGATGGCAGCAGCCATGGAGCTGGAGCAAGCAGGAGGCTTGGGTTGCCCCCAGAGATGGAGGAAGCCAAGCTTTCCGCCTGCCCTGGCTGGCCCTTGGCTCTGCTCAAGGCTACAAAGTTCCTATTATAGAAGATAAATAAATCCCAGATACCTGCTTCCAGCTGGCCGTGGCCTCCACTCAAGGAGGGGCTGGGAGCCTGGGTTGCCCTTGGGCTCCACTAAAGGCTACAAAGTTTCAGTTATAGAAGATAAATAAATCCCAGAAAAAAAAAGAAAAGAAAAAAAGGAGAAGCTGGGAGCTTGGGTCACTGGGGGGTGTGGCCAGCCTGAAAATGGCGATCAGCCCCTCACTCAGGATGGCCAGGCACCCCAGTGGGGACCCCCACCCTGAAGGGGTGAAGGTTGTGTGGCCAGCCTGAAAATGGACCTCAGCCCCTCACCCAAGCTGGCCAGGCACCCCAGTAGGAATCCCTGCCCTGAAGGGGGTGTGGCCAGCCTGAAAACAGCCCTCAGCCCCTCATGCAGGCTGGCCAGGCACCCCACAAGGACCCCAACCCTGATCCGTGACACACTTAAGTATAAACCAGCTGGCCCCCACCCGTGCACCAGGCCTCTATCCTATATAATAAAAGAGTAATATGCTAAATTGATCCTAACAGCAGAACGACTGGAAATGACTGGTCACTATGACACACACTGACCACCAGGGGGCAGATGCTCAGTGGTGGTGGCAGGAGCCTCTCCCACCTCCTCAGCAGCGCTAAGGATGTCTGACTGCAGCTTAGGCCTGCTCCTCGATGTCTGACTGTCAGCTTAGGCCCAATCCCCCAGGGAGTGGGCCTAAGCCATCAGGTGGACATCCCCTGAGGGGTCCCAGAGTGTGAGAGGGCACAGGCCAGGCTGAAGGACCCCCCCCCCCCGCCGAGTGCACAAATTTTTGTGCACCGGGCCTCTAGTAGTCATAATAAAAGCAAATAACAATGTATATTAGTGAGTGCTATTATTGACACAATAGAGATTCAATGTGTTATTTAATCCTTACAATGTTATGAGTTAACTATTTCTTTTTATGAAAATGAAAAAATTAAGGCTCAGAGAGGTAACTTATTTAATGTCAAATAAGTGGTGATGGAGCTGGATTTGAACTCAGGAAATTGGTTTCCAAAGCCTACACTATAAACCACCAACTCTATAAAGCTCTTTAATTGCTTCAAAATCAGGAGAAACACTTGTGCATGTACACACACACAGACACACATGCACACAGTTTGAAGTAAAAAAGATTTATTTTTATTTACTTCAAACCAACTCCTGGAAATAATTAGAGTTCAAATACCTTCATTAAGATAACACCAAAAAAGTACATATAAAGCCCAGTTCAGGAAAAGCTCAATATGGTAATTTTTATTTATAATAAACCAAAAATTATAAT